ATTTTTCTACTGATTTTCTGGCTGCATTGTATTCATTGCTATACAGAGGGGTGCAAAAAGAATGAAGGTTGGGTCATTTTCTGGTTCTTTCCAAGAATCTGTTGTACTTCAAACATATTTGTGTATTCTTTTACATTATGTAGTTGTATTACACTTCCCTTGGTATGGACTAATTTCAGCAAATGCTGGGGCCTTGAGAAGGTTTTTATTCTAGAGGCCATTTTTGGCATCTGAATAAAAAAATATGCACTAACTGAGGAGGTAGCCAGAATATACCTCTGGTTAACCTGAATGAGCCTATCAAAGAATCAGTCAAAAATACTGAGCAGTTAGGTCTGTAGAAGCTTTGGAAAATGGCCATTCTTTTTGCACTCCTCTGTATGTGGAAACATGCACAGACAACTGCAACATTTTCAATAACAGTCTACAACATATCTATTCTTTATTATGCTTTTTTTCTGATCTTCTGGGTATATTTGGACTAATTACCATATTTGGAAATGCGCACAGACCATGTAAACAGTACCTCAACATTGACAACAATAGTTGGTACCATTTTTATAGTTTTTTTCTTCTCTTTATCTCATTTTCTGGCTACATTGTATTAGTTACTATATTTGGAAATGTGCACAGACCATGTAGATACTACTGCAACATTGTTAACAATAGTCTACATTATGTCTATTCTTTTGTTTTTTTCCTGATTTTCTGGCTATATTTACATTAATTACCATATAAGGAAATGTGCACAGACCATGTAAACAGTACCCCAACATTGTCAACAACAGTCTATGTTATAGTTATTGGTTTTTTCTGATTTTTCCTGATTTTCTGGCTGTATTTGCATCAATTGCCATATTTGGAAATGTGCACAGACCATATCATCAACAATAGTCTACATCATGTCTATTATTTTCTCCCTTTTTTGTCTGATTTTCTGGATACATTTGCATTATTTACCATATTAGGAAATACACACAGACCATCAACAGTACCCCAACATTGCTAAGAATAGTCTACACCATATATATTAATTTTTTCCCTGATTTTTCTTAAATTTATGGCTATACTTGCAATAATTACCATATTAGGACATGCACACAGACCATGTAAATAGTACCCCAACATCATGACCAATAGTGAGCATCATCCCTGATTTTATTACTATTTTTTATGTGAAAATGCAAAACCTGCCATATTTGGCAATTTTAGTGTCCATTCCAGTCACTTCATTCCAGTGCCATTCCATTCTGGTGCATTCTGGGGACTGTTCCAGTGTAAATACCAGAATAATGAAGGATTTAGAGACTGACCATTCCCCATACCAACAGCGACCCATTTAAGAAAGCACCTGCATATTGGCCATGCAGTGCATGCTGGACAATAAGCCCCAACACTCACTACCTGCCAGAGTTCCAGTAAGCAGCTCATTAGCAGTATGATGAGATCTTTCTGACATTCAGCACTGTCCCTCCATCATCAGACAGCTCCCCTGCCCCAGGCTGTCCCAGTGTTGCCCCAATTTCCTTCAACATCAGCAGTGCCACTTAGAGGTCCTATGGGGACATCCAGGAATGTATTACACAATTGCCAGGCTGTTCAGGCTGGGGAGGCACAGCCTGCCCAGCCTCAGGAATTACCTTCCGCACCAAAGGAGGTCTTTACACTCCCCGGTATATTCCATATGGAATATTTTTATGTGAGTCCCCAGCTATTTTTTTATTCCATAGTCACTATGGATTCCATATGATTCCATATGGAATATGGATGGAATGATGGATTCCATGGACCATTCCAGGTGGATTCCATCTGGATTCCAGCCATAGATTAATTAATGACCATTATACCATTATAATACAGTATTTATAATGTCCTTACTATATTTAGGTAAAAATTAAATTTTACACCTAAGAGGATTGAACCCTCAACCACGTCAGCAATAGCAGTGCTCAAGTCAACTGAGCCACGCAGGCATTCTTAAATGGTAAACTAAAGGTCTATGTATACCACTCTCGGTCATGTGGCGTTGCAAACGTGACAGCTTTGGCTGGAACGTTGCCATGTCGTTTCTTCCCTCCCACCACCACCATCACCATCCACCACCGCCATCTCAAACCACCACCGCTCATGACAACGACGATGCAGATGATGCACATTGCCGTGCCCAGGTAAGCAGCAACCCCTCCCACCTCCCCTTTTGACCAAAACAACGCCCAGCAACCATCCGTGGCCCACGAACAGCAAAACAAAGCCCACCAGCCACCACCCGGTGCCCACAAACGGCGACCCAGCCCCATGGATGCCAAAACGAGCCCACCGTGCCCAACCGACAACTGTGACCGCCCCCAACCAACACGAGCGCCCACCAACGTGAACGACTGCCCACGCACGAAGACCAGCACCAATGAAAACAACCGCCCATGGATATAAACAACCGCCCAGGACAATGATAGCCCATGAACGGGGACCGCCACCCACGAAAACAACCGCCCATGCACGTGAACAACCACCCAGGACAACGATAGCCCACTAACGGGGACCGCCGCCCACAAAAACAACCGCCCAGACACGTGAACGACTGCCCAGCAACATGAGCACCCCAAAAACGACAACATGCCCACAAACGACAACACCGACCGCCCAATTACAACGACCACCAACGGACGATGACCACCCCCATTGATAAACGGAGATGACCGCCCATGAAAGTGAACGGAAATGGGCAATGACGAGCCCAGGTGAGTCCCCCTTCCTCATCATTCCACCCACTTCCCCCCCCTCCATCCCCTTCCCCCCATTGCTCCCCCTCCTCCCATTGCTCCCCCTCCTCCCATTGCTCCCCCTCCTCCCATTGCTCCCCTCCCCTTCCTTTCCTTCCATTTGCTCCCCTCTGCTCCCCATCCCTCCAGTGTCCCCCTTCCTTCAATACTCCCCACCACTCTCTCCCTCTCCACCACACCCACTCCCCTTCATCACTTCCCCCTCCATCCCCCTCTCCTCTTAATATATAATGTAGTAAATAAATATATGTAGTCTTATTCAATATATTTTTATTTTTATTGAACAGTTATCAGTATGAATAATGACTTAGCAATATTTCAAACAGCCCACTTTCTAAGTTGGAACTTACCATGGATTCCACCCTGAAAATGGTATGGAATCCATCTAAAAAAAGTATGGATTCCATCTGGAAAAAGCATGGATTCCATCAACCATTCCATGGAATCCATCTGGGGGAAGTATGGATTCCATCAACCATTCCATGGAATCCATCTGGCCAAAGTATGGATTCCATCAACCATTCCATGGAATCCATCTGATATTTGTGGAATCCATCCCCCTTCCATGGAGTCCATATGGAATACTCTGGGGAGTGTAAAGTACTGCACCAAAGGCAGGCACTGTTCTGGCTGCTGCAGTGCAGCCCACCCAGCTTCAAGAATTGCCCTCAACATCAAGGGTTAATCCAAGCACTCATACTGCAACTGGGGGCATTGCAAGCAGCTTGTCAGAGTTAGTGGCTGGTGGGCTTTCTGAGAAGGAGCTACAGCAGTGCCAAGCTGTATTGTAACAATTTATCTGGGATCAGGAAAACTTCTGTGCCCCTTGTTGGGGACAAGGTCATTGCTTTGATCACAGCCAATATTTGTGCACCCATGTTGAAGCAGATTTAATGGGTTATTGAAATCTTTTAGACACTGGAAGGCAAGCTGGAACCTTCTGTCAGGTAACTGTTTTTGGTGCTGTCTACTAGCTGTTTGTGCCCCTTCTTCTTCACTAAGCTGAACCACCTCTGACAAAATTTCACAGCAAGCTCCGATCCATCCACAGACCCCCCCCCACCTTGCCATCCTGATTGGGACTTTATTTGTCTGCTAACATTCTCCTTGTAGGGAGTGCAGCATTCCAGAGACATAATCCTAGATGCCTTCAACTTGAATCAGAACTTGGATGAATGAGGCAACAAAGCCAGGCAGCAAAATCCTAAAGGCTCACCTTCTGGCAATGTGGGTGCAGGTGAAATTTTATCACTAATTGCTGTGTACGCAGTGCCCATTTCTCCCTTTTTTTCAGCAATTTTATAACCCATCTGCATGCACAACTGACTTGCCATGCAGTGGCAAGTCAGAGCCATCTTCTAGTTGATTTCCCTCTGCACTCATGAGTAGAAACACAGCCCCCATGTTGTTGTAAATTTAATTAGAATTGCAATGAAACAAAACATAGGTGGAGTCAAAAATAGGCCTCAATAGCCGAAACACAACATCACGGACTTTCAAATAGATTGATTGATGGCACTGCTCTCACCACGTCCCCTCTTGCCTTACAACCATGGTCTCACTTGCTGCACAGATGACTCCTCAGTTGCTAGGATTGGCTAAATTACTGGATATGGATGCTTGCAATGGCAGCTTCTTACTCAATTTTGGCTTCAGTAGCAGAGACAAGGATATGGATGCTAGGAATGGCTAAATTACTGGATATAGATCCTCGCAATGGCAGGTTCTTACTCAATTTCGGCTTCAGTTGCAAAAGGCATCTGACACTAAATGGACCAGCAATTCATTGGAGGTGTTTCCACAGTTGGTGCTGCAGGAGTGGTGACCTTATTAAGATGGATGTGGACTGTTGGGCCCAATTACCCTTCCACAGTCTTTTGTTATTTTGTCCCATTGGGCCCAACTACCCTTCCAAAGCCTTTGGTTATTTTCATCCCATTGGGCCCAACAATACCCACTTAGTGTTTACAGCCATTGGGCCAAGTTAAAGTCAAATAGTGTCAAATAATATTGGGCCCATTGGGTTGGCCTTATGATACATTGACTATGTGGACTTTTTACCTTCCATTGTGTATCTACTGAATGCCCTGTCTTGAAGTCTCGACTCTTACAGTGGTTATCCTTGCACAACACAAATGTTGTCAACATTTTGATGAGATTTTGTGGCATGATGGGCTCGGCAATTTCCTGGGACACGAATACTGCTTTTCATGCCAGAAGGATGTTGGGATATACTGGTGTAAAGACTGTTCAGGTGGATGTTGCCTCCGTTGTTGGGCCTGCATTGTGCTGGCTCATCAGCATGCGCCCCTACACTGAATTGAGGTACGTCTCATTTGAAAATCCAGAGTACATGAAGCTTAATGCAGATGTCGTTATCTTAGAAATGGACAGGGGACGTTTTTGACAGAGATTGCCTTAAGAACCTTGGACATGGAGGATCAATCTGCCCTTGCCAGTCTCCAGGGCCTCTGACCTTCCAAGTTTTTGATATGTCTGGTATTCACACCGGAACGTCAACTATTGTAGATGCCTGAGAGATGAGGCGCTTGATAGGATAACCCAGCTACTTCGTCAGGGGTGGTTCTCTGCAACGTCATCGTGGCTCAATACTGTCTTCACGTTTGATTGCCTCAACACATTTCATGAGCATACCCTTCAGGGTAAGGGGAATCTATATGACTTCTATCATCTTTTGCTGCAAAAAACAGATAATGCAAATGTTTCAGACATGATTGTAAGTACTAATTTATTAACTATTCTGTTTGTCTTGCAAACTAACAAAATTGTTTATCTAGCATCGTTATAAGGAAATTCATTGGGTTTTCTGGCTTTGGCACAATCTCATGGCATTGAAACACAGTGGACGTGGCCATGACCCAGAGGGTATAGTGGCTACATCTCCAGGCAGCTTAACAGTTGAATGTCCAGCATGCCCACACCCTGGCAAAAGCCTGCCTGATAATTGGGCAGAGGTGGGCCTGCTTATGTGTGTTTCTTTAGCTACACATTTCTGGTTACTTCAGCAGACTAATCATCTCATAAGGTTCCTGTACATTCTATATATATCTGTGGATGCAAACTTCAAACTAAAAGGCAAATGTGGCTCAAAAGATGTTGAGTTGATGCCTGGTTCAGGGCCTTAGGTTGAGTAGTCTGCATATCAAACATTCATCAAGGACTATGTTGACCAGCCTGAGGTACGTGCTTTCCTTATTTGATTTTGAGGTTGTGATACTGATATTTTCCAGTACTTTACAGTGCCCCACCATTCCTGCCAGAATCCACTGGAATGGGACTGGACTAGGTACATTTACACTAATATACACACTCTTATACTGATATACACTTCTTAGACATAGGAAAGAGCAATCTCACGAAATACAGGGCAAAGGGTTCCCCATTTCCATTTTCGGAAATTTTAATTTAATTAATAATTCTAGTCTACAAGTCTGTATAACAAAAGACGAACAAATGAGATGGCGTGTGGCATTCTATGCCACCTTGTTTAGTTTCAGAAGAAGAAAGAAAAAAGAATGAGAAAAAAAGACAAGATGGCAGGTGGGATACCCTCCATCTCATTGAAAACTACCAAAAAAGGCACTGGATTGAAGAAAATAGCAGGCCTCCCTGCCAAATTTCATTCCTCTGGAATGACCGGATTCCTGCAGGAATTAGGGGGGCACTGATAAAACCTCATATTTTCGTATAGATCAATACATGTGAGTCTGAGCATGGAGTTATCATTAGAGCACAGACTCAATGTACACCTGGATATGCCATATCAGGAACTGGCATTGTTTTCTGCTCAAGACATGCACTGGTGCAGAGGAATGGGGCAGGTGATCTTCAGAAAGGAGAAAAGTAGGTTGTAGCTTTGCTTGAATTGGTTTTAGTGCTAATTCTTTCGTCTAGATATTGCAATATTGACTATCTTATTTTTTTGGCCCTCGTCGGTGTCACATTATCATGGATTTTCATCACATACAACATAGGTTGCCAGTGGTCAAAAAAATTTCATGCATGCATGTTGGACTTCCCAGAACGTATGTGAATTCAACAAAAAGATTGATTTCAAAGAAGGATGGAGGTGCTGGGAGGTCTTCAGGTGAAGCCTGCAGTCTTTTACCAGTGAGGTAATCCCTCAATAAATACTGGGAGAGGATATAAGCAAAAAGGCAGACAGAAAAAGTAGATGGCTTTACATTGAACATGTTTTCGGGATGATTGAGGGACCAAAAATTAAGTAGAAATGTGTGTGATCAAGGTCCAACATGTGATGGGATGAAAGACCAATTGCAACCAGTCTAAACCAGTCATTTTCAGTTTTTAAATTTTTACAAAAACATGGCAACTGGCAACTGGACTGACCACAAATGTGGGCAACTGCAACTGGAAAAAGACTGGACCATGGTTCAGTCCAGTTCAGTCCTATGTATATTTTCAGTCCTGTAGACTGGACCTGTGAACACTACCCACAACCACCACACCAACAATGATGTGCAACCACCACACCAACGACAACATGGCAATGCCACGTCACCACATGAATGAGTGCTGGCCACATCAATGGAATGGAAGGTGCCTCATTGCTGTGGGCGACATGGCTACCAAACAACAAATGACAACAATCCTTACTTTCAAGTCAGACCTCGAAGTTTCATACAAAAAGCTTATATTTGAACATTGATGTTGTATTGGTAACTATACACATAATTATATACAAAAAAAAAGTATTCTACTCATGTTGTCAGAAAGGGGAAGTGAGGGAGTGAGGGGTGGGGAGAGGGAAGGAAGGGGGAGAGTGTGGAGCAGAGTGATAAAGGGAGGGAGTGTGAGGGAGGGGGAGGGAGTGGTAGGTATGGTATGGTGTGGTGGAGAGGGGAGACAGTGGTAGTACTCACATGGTGTACTAAAATCAATGATGATGATGTGGCACCTGAGTGTTCATGGGTGCTGGCTGTCGTATGTGAGGGGGCATTTGTGAATGTGGGTGGTCAGTGATTGTCATGCATGGGTAGTCTTTGTCATATGTGGGCAGGCATTGTTGTATGTGGGTGTGGACAGTCATTTTTATACATGGGTGGTTGTTCTTGTTTGTATGTGGTCATTGTTGTTGCATGTGGTCATTATGTTGGGTGGTCATCATGGCCTTTGGCGCCTATTGTGGTTGTCATCAATGTGTCATCACCACGTGGTTGTCATTGTCCTGTCACATGGGTTGCCCTTATCCTCTGTAGGCAGTTGTTGTCCTACATGGGCAGTCATGTTGTGTGGGCGGTGTTTGTCCTCTTTTGAATGTGGGCACTGGTCGTTATCTGTGGGTGCTTGTCTTTGGATGTGGGCACTCATCTTTATGTGGGCAGTTGGTTGGCTAAACAACGTGAGCATATGATGATGTGGCAGGTGGGACAACATACCTTCCCCCCTCTTGTGTGCTGTATGAGCAGCAGTGGCCATTTTCCTAGAAAATGTGAGCAGTAAGTGGTGGTGACATGGCAGGTGGATGTAGTGTGCACATTTTGTGCCCTTTCCCTTCCCCCTCACTGCCCTTTTTCCCTTCCCCGTCACTTTCGGATTGTCATTGATGTCTTTCACGACTTTGATTTTGCTAAACAGCATAATAAGGAACTGATGATGTGACAAACAGGGCAACAATGTACCATGCAAGTTTCGTGCTTTCCCGCTCACTGCCCTTTTCCCCTTGACCATTCCAGTAGGAATTTACTAGGACTCCACTAGGACAGGGACACAAAATTTGTATGGTGATCAGCCAACATAAAAATTGTCCCAGTCCTAGTCCAGTCTGGTAGCAATCTGGAAGTCCAGTAGGAGTCTGGTAGGAATAGGTGGAGGAGTGTAAAGAGCTCACTTCCTTTCAGACTTCAAAAATGTAACTTTGGATACCAAGCAGAAGTGGGCAACTCAAGGCAGCAAATTAGCTGGTCTTGCAAGAGCTGGTATGTCTGATATGTATTTGTGTTTTCATGACAAGCTCACATCACACTAGGATCTATATACCTGCTTATGCTGATAGTGATGGCAGGAAAGAAGACTTTGGTGACTGAAATGTCAGGTGAAGTTCTTGGACGTCCTTGCATGGTGATTCAAAACCCAGACACAAGTCAGTTCTCTCTTTGTACCATCAGGCTGACACTCACACTACCTAATAGATACTCCCATTGGCCATCAAATCATCAGCAATGTCATCCCTGCTATAGATGTTCTTCAGAGACAGTTTCTGGTATCTTTCTCCATGATGTTTTCAGTGGGTGCACTGAAAAGATTATCATTGCCTGCTCAAATCAAGTGCCATGACCTTCATGAGTCAGATCGCTTCTTTGATTGTCTTCACCTCAAGTATGTTTAACTTCTCTCCCTTCAGCTACTCTGCTAATGTGAATGTGTAGCACTTTCATGGCAGAAAGATGTCATGGATCTTGGCAACCTTGTCTTGTTCCTCTTTCCTCCAAGCCAGCCTCTCTCTCACCCTGCACATTATGAACAGGACTCTTCTCAATGTGGGTTCTACTTCCAGTGCATATTCTGACAGCAGGCCCCCTCTCCTTGTACCAACATCAAAGATGAGAGTGATGCCAGTAATGACGACAATGTCAAGGGTGCACCTCCCCCCTCAGATACAGAGGTTCCCTTGGTGATCATCGACACCAATTATGATCGTTCCCACCAAGACAATCAAAAGTTTCCTATAAAACAACATTACACTGACAAGTCTCAGGCTTGGGAGGCAGGGTTTATTTGGACAGAGAAAGACAGGAAGAAGGCCATGCATGCCATTATTCCAAAGGATATGGCAACATTTCAGAAGTGCATAAGGGAAATCTTGGGTTCATCTTGCTTTTTTTCAGGTCAAACAGGTTCTAGAGTCAGGTGTCAGAAAGGCCAGATCACAGTATACAAAATACACCACTAGTGGTCATGAACCGTAAGTATTTAAGTTCTGTTCTGTGTTTGAAGAGGTACTTATTTCTTCTTAGTCAGAGACTGTGAATCAACTGCAAGGATGGAAGAAATCTTGCCTTCATTGATAGCACTCTGGATCAACATCTACCTGATCAACTACTTGACAAGTTCATGGCTCTATTTCCAGAAGGTCTGAAAGACACTGACACTGAAGAGGAGGGAATTGACAATACATTTCCCTCAATTCATTTTGTATGCTCTGTATCTCTGCAAACCACAAGTGCCAGGAAATTTAGTTGTCACTCCATAACAGTATATACATTCACTAAAGACACCCCAAGCTCACCTAATGGGGCTCCAAGGTATGCTCTCTAATGGTGCTCTATGGTGCTCTAATGCACTCTAATGCACTCTAATGGCACTCTAATGCACTCTAATGGTGCTCTAATGGGCTCTAATTTACTGAAGGCCATTTGGACTGGGTGATGTAGATTTTCACAAGAAGTACAATGTGTCTTGTCAGTAGTACTAAATATATAATGTGACCATTCCCACATCCAGGTTAATGGTGAGACAAGTATTCAATGAGTTTGATTTGATGGGTTGCCACATCATCTGCCGTGATGATACCAAAGCTTTCATTGTCAAAGATAATAAGATGGAGTATGTCATGGTTGGTGTAAGTTGTGAAGTCCAGCATAAAGTTTGGAGGTAGGTCCCCAACAGCTGGGGCTGTGCTGGCTGATTTAATCTTCCCCTGTCAGCATTAGAAGCAAGGCCCTGGAGAGATCCAAACCACTTCCTGGGACCTGAAGGGATGGCTCAGATACATTATGGACCAATTTGAAAGGAACATACAGTTTTATGGAGCAGGGTGAAATGGGGCTGATTTCGGGTGTTTCGTGATATCAGTCTGGAATTAAGGGCAGTGGCCTCAATTGTGTGCAGCCTCCCCTCCATAGCTGTGAGGCATCACACTACTTCTGCTAGACCAGTCAATAAACCCAGTGCATACTCATCAGCAGCCTGTCAAGAATGGGAGTATAAAGTGACATACAAGTAGTGTTTGAAAGTCCAGTCTAGTCCGATTTTTTACCTCAAAACAAGGCAACTGGCAACTGCAACTGGTCCAGACCAATCCAGATATTAAGGGACCACAACTGGACCCTTTTCGACTGGTCCTAATTGGTCCACAACGCAAGACCAGTCTTTTTTTGAAAAATTTATTGTACCACAGAAACTAAATATTACCTCACGTACATACAGTTGAGTGCAAAAAGAATGAAGGTTGGTTCATTTTTCTGGTTCTTTCTAAGAATCTATTGTAGCTCAAATGTATTTGTGTATTCTTTTACATTATGTAGTTGTGTTACACTTCCCTTGGTATGGACTAATTTCAGTGAAAGCTGGAGGCCATTTTTGGCATCTCTGAAAAAAAAAAATATGCGCTAACTGGGGAGGTAGCCAGAACATACCTCTGGTCAACCTGAATGAGCCTATCAAAGAATTAGTTAAAAATACTGAGCGGTTATGCTTGTAGAGCCTCCAGAAAATGGTCATTTTGTGCTATTTTGGCACTTCAGTCACCCACTGACAACTGACTATTAGTCTTGCAAACTCCATGAATACTACAGGACTAAATGTCAGGGTGTATATCTATATTGTATATATTCTGGGGCTTGTATATCTCCACTTTTACCTAAATATATTTTGTTGTCCAATGTCACACTAAATATATTTCTAGTGTGTCACACACCCCAAAAGATATTTCCTCACTGGAATGGACTCCAAATATATTTTTTATGCCTGGACCCTGAATTGTGACTGTCACAATGTAGAAATATATTTCTTGTCTAGGATGGACTTGGGATATATTTTGCAGCTAGGGTTTACTAAGGATATATTTTTTCAGCTACAAGGGGTGTCTGGGGTCCTATATTTAAGAGAAAAACTTGGGATTTTTTTTAATATAGGGGATAGGGAATTTACCTATTATTTTGTAGGCAGAATACCCTCATTGGGATGTTTGTTGACAGATATTTACCAATAGCTTTGACCCATGTGTAGTATATGCATTGATGTGCGCACTATTTCCTAATTGGGCCATTTCCTAATTAAGAAAAGCATTACACTTTTTTCTGACACACCTGATGTCAGGCACAGTGCACATTTGGGTGGGGAACCATTTCCCACGCTTTTTGGGCCAGAAGAGTTAATGGCTAGCATGGTGTGGTCATTGTGAATGATGATGTGTGCACTATTTCCTAATTGGGCCATTTCCTAATTAAGAAAAGCGTTACACTTTTTTCTGACACACCTGATGTCAGGCACATTGCGCATTTGGGTGGGGAACCATTTCCCACGCTTTTTGGGCCAGAAGAGTTAATGGCTAGCAGGGTGTTGTCATTGTTAATGACGATGTTCGCATATTTCCCAATTGGGAAAGTCATTACATAATATCAGTTTGGTTTGTAGTGTCCGCTTTATTCATTACAAAATTGTGTATTGTCCGCTTTTTTCATTAGAAATGTGTGTAGTGTTGGCTTTTTTCATTGAAAAAATGTGCAGTGTCTGCTTTATTCATTACAAAATTGTGTAGTGTCCGCTTTTTTTTCATTACAACACCTTGTAGTGTCCGCTTTTTTCATTACAAAATTGTGTAGTGTCCACTTTATTCATTACAACACTTTGTAGTGTCCGCTTTATTCATTACAAAATTGTGTAGTGTCCCCTTTTTTCATTACAGAACTGTGTAGTGTCCACTTTATTCAGAGGTCTTTACCTTCCCCAGGTTAATCCATATGGATTCCATGTGGAATCCATGGAATCCATCACCAATTCCATGTGGAATCCATGGAATGAATCTTGGCTGAGACCACAGCCAATTTGTTGTTCCATGGACATCATGGATTCCATGTGGAATGATCATGGAATGGTCAATTCCATATGGAATCCATTGCCATTCCACCTGGATTCCATATGGAATGCAGGCATATCCACCATGGATTCCATGGAACAAGTCCACATGGATTCCATGGAACAAGTCCATATGGATTCCATGGAAACCATTAGAATACATACAAACAGTACTAGAAACTATTGAATAGAAACTCAGTAGCATTTGTAGTGTCCTTACTATATTAAAAGTAAAAATTAAATGTTGCATTCTCGAAGGATTGAACTTGAGACTACACGTACGCAAACAGCACTAAAGCCAACTGGACCAAACCGGCTTTGTTAGATATACTACCATGGGAAAATGTATCCCACCCTCACGGCCCACGGCCTCTTGCGTCCCAAACATGGTAACTGTGACTGAAGTGTTGCCACGACACTTCTTTCTTACCACAACCACCACCGTCAACCACCACTGCCATCAACCAACCACTCCCACCTCGAATCCATGCCACCCCATACCCGTGCCGACGACAAGGCCTCGCGCAGCGGCCATGTATGCGCCCATTCGCCTGTCCGCAAGCGAGGACTGTCCAACGCTGGTGACCAGGCAAGCAAGCGCCAGAAGAAACATCAGGAGGAACCCGACGACACGCCCGCACAGCCTGAAGCAATGCAGGAGGTGGCGAGAGGAACGAAAACAGGGAAGAAGAGAGGGGGGAAGACAAAGAAGGGGAAGAAAACGAGGTGCGTACCCCATCTACGTCGATCGCCCACCATCAATAACGCCGATGGGCCCCGATTACAGGAAAATGAGCACCGACAAGGCTGCTGAGGACGCCAGCCAGGCATCTCCTGCCAAACTCACCCCGTAAGCACCCTCCCCCCCTTTCTTTTCTTTTATTTTTAATTCTATTAACATTTGCAGGGCCGAGCGAAAGCTCGTCACAAGTGGCATCACCATTGCCCCCCCAGAACGAATCCGCGATCCCAAGGCGTCCCATATGCCGCCCCTGCCAACTATCGCTAGCGCCCGGGTGCATCGTCACGACAATGATGCCCCCATGAAGGAGCCACAGATGGACGACGAGGACGACAATACCACCAGCTCGGAAACGAGCAGCGAGGACGACGGTGGTGCCAACGAGGACAGCAGCAGTGCCAGCCAGGACAACGACAACGACAGCAATGGGGATGACAACGAAGACGACGCCAACGAAGACGACAATGACAATGATGGGGACGACAATGAAGACGACGCCCATGTCAACGCTGACAGCGGCAACGACCATGCGGACAGCAAAGCCAGCAACGGAGACAGCGGGGACGACAACGCCAGTGACGAAGAAGACCAAGATGACAGCAACAACGAAGACAACGCCAATGCCAATACCAACACCACAGGCGCCGACACCAGCACCCACGGCTCTAACGCCAACGCCAACGCCTGTGCCAGCACCAACAACGATGCCAGCACCAACAACGACGTCAATGCCAACGACGTCAATGCCAACGCCAGCCACGCCAACGCCAGCACCAACAACGACACCAACACCAACACCAACGCCTACGATGCCAACACCAACACCAGCCACACCAACGCCAGCCACGCCAATGCCAGCCATGCCAACACCAACACCAGCACCAGCACCATGCACGAAGGTGCCAACGACGACAACACCAACACCAACGATGCCAACACCATCCACACCAGTGCTGTGGGCAACGACAAGGGCCCCAGTCCAGCAGCTGCTTCTGAACATTCCCAAGGCAGTGAAAAGCTCATCACTGACCTTGAGATGTTGGGAACAGGCCCAGGTATATACATTTCCCATATCTTGTATTTTAATTTATATATATGTGTATTAGTTACCTCTCTCCATGCCCCTGTTGCTGATCAGGGTAATATACTTTTTTAATTTTTTGTCTTTCAATTTCTGACTTGCTTATATTATAGATGTTGATATGGAATTAGAAGGGAGCCCACCAGCACTTGGGTCTTCACGCACAACAGGGGGTTTTTTACATGGAAGGGCATTGGGAAACACCTTAAACCATGCCGATTTTCCTAAGGTTCATTCTGGTGAACGTTTTTTTACAGGCAGTTCTCAAGTGGACTACAAGATTTTTGCTTATCTGGTTTACAAAGACCCCGTTGAGCTTAATGTTATTCCTGATCCTTTACTTCCTGCCAACACCATCTTTCGTATCTCTACTCTTCCTCCTCTGGAATCTGGGGTTGTTTTGAAGAAAGTAGCTAATCAGCTTGAGAGTGTCAAAGGTGGGTGAAGGCAAATATTCAACACTTTGAATTTACTAATTATTTTAAAGCTGCTCATGTTTTTTTGCAATCTAACTTGTCTGGTACTTGGCAGTGGAATCTAATGGGTCACTATGACAATTCTTTGTTGGATAATGAATGCCATATTTTATTTGTAAGTTTTATTATTGGTACTTATTGTTTTCATTTTCTTATTTTACATTTAAAGTGCCTTCCAAACAACTCTTTATTTTCTATGGGATCTTCTTACCCCCCCTCCACTCACATCTCTGGTTCAATGTCTCGCTCTGTAGTATCTGAGTCTCATTCTGGGTCTATGTCCCGTTATGCATTTTCTGAATCTCGTTCTCATCCTGATACTTCTCGTTCTCGTCCTGATACTCCCATGGACGTTTCTGTGCCATCTGGTGCCAAACGCACTATTGATGAGAATTTACTCCATAGACTTAAAGCAGCTGGGTTGCTGATCAATGAATCTCTCTGCTATGATACAAGCCCTGGTCTTCAGTTATGTATCAACATTACATACACATCCATAAGATTCATGCTCAGATTGCTGACATGGTTGCTGGGCGCAAGTGGCCAGCAGATGTTGGCAAGTATCCAAATAAGACTGAAATTATTGGTCTTTTTGTGGCAAAAACTACCTGGCATAATTCTTATGCCAAACTCTTTCCAACTGCTGAGGGCTATGAAGATATGCTGGCTTGGCTGGAGGGTGATCCCAATTCTAAATCAGACCTTGAGCTTTGGGGTGTCACAAAGTTGAAGTACACTCTTGTAGACTTGGAAGAATGGCCTAAAAAGCAGAAAGGCAAGAAAGTAGTCAAGTCCATGACGAAATCTGCTGCCAAGTCTGCAAAGGGTGCAAAGGAGAAGGAGAAAGAAAAGAAGCAAGGATCAGGCTCAGGCTCAGGTGTTGGGAAGGGAGACCAAAGAGAGTTGAAGCAGAAAGAAGTGGTCACAGAGCAGGTTGATAATAAGAAAAAGAGCCACAAGAAGAAAAAAGTTGCTGCTAGTGGGTAGGTAGATTTTGGACTCATCTCAATGTTTTTTTTGTATTTGTATAAGTGTGTTCACAACTGTTCTCTTTTTTCCTTTAGTGATCATTTAAGCTGGATGCTTCCAGCTCACTGTCTGACCTTTGCAATTTTGCACTTGTTTATGCTTTTAAAAATGCTTGGTCCTTTGATGGTTCTGATGTTTCTGTGCCCTGGAGCCAATGCTTTAGATGAACAAGCATTTCCAGATATTTCATTCAAAGTGTTCAATGAGTTTATTGCACACAATTTTAGCTCAAAAATTACACTTGCAACTGTGTTGATGTTGTTGTTTAGTACAGTTGAAAACACAGATTTATTAAATCTGCATCAATGTCAGCAAAATCCCCAGCTTTCAGATGAAAAACGAGTAAATTTGAGCTCCTGGTTAAAATCACTGGCTCGTGAAGTTGAAAAGCAGACTCCAAAACCAAAATTCAAAACATTGTTTAAACGGTCAGAAAACATGAAATCACTTCCTGAAAACCAAATTATAACCAGCATTGCAACAAAGCTCAATAACTGTGCTGATTTATTGGGTCTTAATTCCTTTGGGAGTGATGGAAGGCCAATTCAAAGACTTCAACCAATTTCAAAAAAGGAAATTCAAGCAATCATGATTATTTGCCCACCATCAAATGTTTGTTCTGATGTTAAATGTCGAGGACATGCTATTTTGCAACAGTCAGATCCTAATGAAATTGCCACAACAACTCTTATTAAAGGTTCTGAAGTCTTTAAAGATGTTGTGATTCTGAGTGGAAAATGTTCTAGTTGCAAAACTCACTATTTTGCTGATCATGAAAATTACCCTCAAGTTGGAGGCTCTCGGACACGGGTATACCTTAATAATGCAAAATATTTGAAAGTTGGAAAATCTCTACATGTTGACCAAACATTTTCAAATGCTGTTGTTAATGGAACATACAGCTTTCATGCATCAGTGGCTGCTTATGCTGAATTCTGGACCAACCACTTCAGTCACCCATTTTAGGGTACCTATGAGGTATATGAATTCTTTGATTTAAGGGTACCTCAATGGTACCCATTCCAGAGTGGTATGTGAGCACCATACCAATACCATGGTACCATGGAATGGAAAACTCATACCATATCCCACTCATACCAATACCAAGTTACCATACCATACCAGATGGTATGATACCACTTCATACCATCATACCAAAGCTGTCACTGGGTGTCTGGGGTCCTTTTCCAAAAGAAATAAATTATTTCTGCAGGCTGCAATACTGGTCCATTGGGTACCATTTTTTGTGGGGTGGTTCTCCATGTTTTTCTTGAGATATTGAGCTACAAATTGAGGCTAGATAGTCCAAACCATCTATTGAAAATGAGCTTAAATAGGCTTTATTCCAGCTTTCTCATGCATCCAAAGCCATTTAATGATACATATCTTTCCCAGTCCTTTCTATTTGAACAAATATTCATCCAAATCAAACAATACCACATCTATTGGGATGAAGTGGTCATTGAGAAGCAAAGAAAAGTGGAAAGGTTCTTCAGGTTTTTTCTAAGATTTCCAACTCCAAGTGGAGGCTAGATAGTCAACTCCAACCTTTGGAAATCAGTTCAATTGAGGGTTTTTTCATTTCTAAAAAGCCATTAATATGAATCCTTTCAATAATAGGTTAAATATATTTTTTGTTAATTGGAAATGGAATCAAGTCTTGTTGTCCTAAGAGTCTTGATTATCAAAATATCATACCATACCATGCACCCTCATACCATACCATGCACCCTCATACCATACCATGGTATCAGGAACCATAATCTATTTTTATTTAGGAAGAGGAAGGCAGAAAACCCTCATTTCGAAGTTTGTTTACATATATTTGTCAGGCACAGCTCACATTTAGGTTGGGAACTGTTTCCCACGCTCTTTGGGCCACTGGAGTTAGTGGCTAGCTTAGTGTTGTCATTGTTTATGACAATGTTCGCATATTTCCTAATTGGGAAAGTCATTACATAATATCAGTTTGGTTTGTACTGTCCGCTTTTTCACTACAAAAGTTACTAGTGTGCGCTTTTTTCACTACTAAAGTTTGTAGTCTTCACTTTTTTCATTACAAAAGTTTGTAGTGTCCGCTTTTTGGACAACAAATATTTGTAGTGTCCGCTTTTTGGACAACAAATATTTGTAGTCTTTGCCTTTGTCATTACAAAGGCTTGTAGTGTCCGCTTTTTTCATTACAATGTTTGTAGTGTGCGCTTTTTAGACTACAAATGTTTGTAGTGTCCGCTTTTTGGACTACAAATGTTTGTAGTGTCCGCTTTTTTCATTACAATGTTTGTAGTGTGTGCTTTGTGGACTACAAATGTTTGTACTCTTGCTCTTTTCATTACAAAGGCTTGTAGTGTCTGCTTTTTCAGACTACAAAAGTTTGTAGTGTGCACTTTTAAAGCTTGTGGTCTGCTTTCCTGATATTGTCCCTGTATCTATCCAGGTACATGGGGATATAGCTCAATGTTTCAGAGCAACTGACTCTAGCCAAAACAGCTCTTCATCATTCAGCCTTTGTACCATCCAGGGAATGATAGAAAGTAAGAAGAGGCTACACTGACATGTCAAAACTCATGCCCAAGTTGTCTTGTTCTGACCTTCTCTTTGACCTGCTTAAGTCATGTTCTCATCATATCCAACACTCTTGCATATCTCTGAGGACTCATCTATGTCTGACCATAGCCAACCTCAACATGATCTCTTTCAAGACTAGGCTGTCCTCCCTTTCTATTTCATAGTCAGTTCCCACCATCTC